TTTTTTTTTTTAAGGCTAGTCAAGTGAAGCAGTGGGAGTGGAGAAAGAACAAAGGAATCTGTAACTGGTTGTAATCAATTAATTGTAAACATTACTGCAAACAAGCCAATCCATTGTTCTTAACTATAATCACCATTTTTGTTTTTGAGAGAGTATCAAGCTGTCACCCTGGGTAGAGTGCTATTGTGTAACAGCTCACAGCAACCTCAAACTCTTGGGCTCAAGTGATTCTCTTGCCTCAGCCTCCCAAATAGCTGAAACTACAGGTACCCACCATGATGCCCAGCTATTTTTGTATTGCAGTTGTCATTGCCTTTTTTTTAGCTGGCCTGGGCTGGGTTCAAACCCACTAGCCTCAGTGTATGTGGCTGGTACCCTATCCACTGAGGTATAGACGCCACCCAGATTTCTTGAACTTATTCTTCCTCTCTACTAAACTTTTGTGTCCTTTGACCAACATCTTTACCTCCACCCTCCCCTGCATACCTTGATAATCAACATTCTATTCTCTATTTTTTATGAATTCAATTTTCTTTCTTTATTCTTAAATTGAGACAGTGTCACTTTATCACCCTCAGTAGAGTGCCATGGCACCATAGCTCATAGCCACCTCAAACTCCTGGGCTCAAGTGATTCTCTTGTCTCAGCCTCCCCAGTAGCTGAGACTACAGGCATCTGCCACAACACCCTGCAATTTTGTTGTTGTTGTTTAGCAGGGCCCGGGATGGGTTCAAACCCAGCCCCAGAGCATGTGGTCAGCACCCTAACCACTGGGCTACAGGTGCCCAGGGACTTCAACTTTTTTTAGATTCCATGTCTAAGTGAGCACATACAGTATTTGTGTTTCTGGGCCTGACTTAATTTCATTTAACATAATGTCCTCCAGGTTCATCTATGTTGTCAAAAATGAAAAGACTTCTAACACTTAACCCATTTATGCCAGAGGTTGAAATTTTTTAATTTTGCATGAAATTCGTATATGTTACCTAGAAAAATTCAAGGAACAAGAATTTGAAAAGAAAAACATAAAATAAATACATTTTATTATATTCTTTGTTGAGTACGTGGCACTCTAAAAGTGAAACACTAGGCAAAACCCCTGCTACATTGCACATAATGTATAAAATCATGTCTCTTATCTCAGGAGGTGGTGACACTTGCATTCAATGTGATATTCAACAGAACACTTCATACATAAGGTGAGATCACATTTTTCACAAGGAGATGTAGTGTGCTAGGCCAAGCCTGCTGGCTCACACCTGTAATCTTAGCACTTCCTGAGGCTGAGGCAGGTAGACTGCTTGATCTCAGGAGTTTGAGACCAGCCCAACCAAGAGTGAGACCCTGTCTCTTCTATAGAAAAACTACCTGGGCATGGTAGCACACACATAGCTCATAGCAACCTGAAACTTCTAGATTCAAGAGATCCTCTTGCCTCATCCTCCCCACAGGTGCCACCCATATGTTTGAAATTTTCTATAACAAATAGTTTTCAAGAAAAAGATAATTCATGGCAGTGCCCGTAGCTCAGTGGGTAGGGCGCCAGCCACGTACACCAAGGCTGGCAGGTTCGAACCCAGCCCGGGCCAGCTAAACAATAATAGCCGGGCGTTATAGCAGGTGCCTATAGTCCCAGCTACTTGGGAGGCTGGGGCAAGAGAATCACTGAAGCCCAAGAGTTTGAGGTTGCTGTGGGCTGTGACACTACAGCGCTCTACTGAGGGCAACATAGTGAAACTCCGTCTCAAAAAAAAAAAAAAAGTAGTGTATTAGAAAGGAAAAAAAGGTAACTCAAAGGAACGCATATGGGATATGTGACAGATTGGCAAAACAAAAATATGTTAAGTAGACAAATCCACCTGTATATAAATATCTATTTCAAAAAGTAGTTTGTGTTTGCTTAGAATCAGGGGCCTTCTTGCTCTTTAACTATCTCTTGATTAAAAAAAATAAATGAAGGTTCAGTCCATAGCATAGGGATTATGGTGCCAGCCACATACACCAAGGGTGGTGGGTTTGCACCCAGCCTGGGCCAGCCAAACAATGTCAACAGCAACAAAAAAATAGCCAGGCATTGTGGCGCCTATAGTCCCAGCTACTTGGGAGGCTGAGGCAAGAGAATTGCTCAAGCCCAAGAGTTTAAGGTTGCTGTGAGCTATAATGCTATGGCACTCTACCAAGGGTGACATAGATCTGGCTCAAATAAATAAATAAAAATAATAAATAAACAAATAAGAAACTTTTAAGGCTATACAGAAAGGAAAGCAGTAGGCCTTCACCTGAGAGATTGACACAAGCAAAGGAACAATTATTAAGCAGGCTGAAGGGCCAGTGCAGTGGAAAGTTGACACGTCATTGTCAGGTCAGCTTCATACTGTTACCAAGTCTGTTAGCACTAAAAAATAATAGATCAAGTGCTCAGAAAATGAAATTTATTTAGAATTCATAAATTCCAGGTGGCATCTGTAGCTCAGTGGGTAATCCAGCTCAGGTCAGCTAAAACAACAACTGCAACAAAAAAATAGCTGGGCATGGGTGGCTCCTATGGCTTGGTGGGTAGGGTGCCAGCCCCATATACCAGGGTTGGCGGGTTCAAGCCTGGCCCCTGGCCAAACTGCAACAAAAAAATATCTGAGCGTCCTGGCAGGCACCTATAGTCCCAGCTACTTGGGAGGCTGAGACAAGAGAATCGCCTAAGCCCAGGAGTTGGAGGTTGCTGTGAGCAGTGTGATGCCACAGCACTCTACCAAGAGAGATTAAGTGAGATTTTGTCTCTTAAAAAAAAAAAAAATAGCTGGGCGCTGTGGCAGGTGCCTGTAGTCCCAGCTACTTGGGAAGC